TTATTCTCTATTGTGTCTGGGTTCATGGATACCTTCTCTAGCCTGTCTTACCTGTGGGCTCAAAGACCCTGACCTTCGTAAGATTAGTTGCCTAGATTGCCTAGAATAATCAACCCAAATGCTAAGTAAGACTCAGAAATAGGTGTGATCATTTAGGGATGTATAGTAAATGACGAAAAGAAAACAATGAAATTAGGAAGTTGTACCTGTAGTTAATGGGCATCTGAAGGCAAAGGGGCTCCTTTAGGAAACTGATGTTAGTCTTGTAGGGAACAAAAAAAATAAAACTAAGAGAAACTACAACCAAGACAGTTATAGAGTTGATAGAAAACAAGGGGAAAACAATAACCATAGTATGTGGAATGTGTGTACTGGGAAGCATCATCTGAATGTGTCAAGCAATAAATCACCAGGGCCATTACTAAGATCAGTTTCAACAGGCAGAGGATAAATAAACCAGAGCATAGCAAGTATTCTAAGAGTTTTTAAAAACCCTAGAAAAATGAGCATAAACAAGCTTCCAAAAAGCTGTGAAAATCAAGGTAAATGCTGTGATTTTGCATATTTGTCTATAAACTGAAAGTTTTTGAGATCAATAATACTTTCCATTGAAGGAGTCACCAGTGGCCCAATGAAGACACCGTGCAGCCATGCTGAGGGACCATATCACCACTGACAGAGTCACAAGTGGCCTGATAAAGACACCGTACAGCTATGCTGAGGGACCACATCAGGGATGGTGGCAGTGCCTCTTCCTCTCCCATGTCCTTCTCGTCCTATCTCAGACTTAGTTTTTAGTTATTTATGAATAGACAATTATCTTAGTTACTTACAGTTCTTTTAGTTAATTCTAAACTGCCTATATAAATTCAACCCAAACCAATAAAAAGGAAAATTACACATAAAAACTTTCCCCCCTTTTCTCTGAAACATTGATCAAGATTTTGAAAATTTTCTCACCTTCCCACACTGAAAGAAAAATTATCAATATTTTGTGTTGAAGTTATATAGTGACAGTAACACAAGATGTCTTCAACATACTCTGTTGTTGTTCTCTTAATAATGATGCTGAATTCATATAAACACATAATCCAAATGGAAGGACCTTGTAGACCTAGGTTTATGTTATTCTATCATTGTTAAAGAACATTTAATTTCTCCCAGCTATACTATTTTTATTACATCTCTGAATTCAGTTGTATTTGCTATACACATTCTTCCTAAGATTTCTTTCCCAAAATTCACACAAAAGAGTTGATAAACTGATTTGTGTATTAAAATGATGAAAAAATATATATTATCTGCCTTAAGAGAGTATTGGTTGTAGTATTAAGGCCACTCCATATAGTTAAAAGGGAGGTTTATTTTG